GCTTCTGGTTCTTCTGGTTCTTCTGCTTCTGGTTCTTCTGGTCCTCCTCCTCCTCCTCCTCCTCCTCCTCCTCCTCCTCCTCAAAACAACAGTTGAGACAACTTTGAGACAACCAGGACCTGGGAATCTCCACGGACACTCCTAGGGAATTTCTTGATGCTTTCAGAAAGGATCGCCAATCTGATCGGCAGTCTTTTCTCTTGGAGATTAGTCACCCAAAGGGAGGGGGAGACCGCTAGTTAATAATCATCTACATTGATCTGGAAAAAGAACTCGAGGCAAGCAACAGATTCATTTGAGGAGCAGAATAATTCTTTTTTTTTCCCCTCTCTCCAGCTAGTTAATGATGAAGACGAATGGACTTCACATACTCTGCGGTAAGTCAGCGCAGGAAGTGCTTTCACGCTTCGTTCAGGTAATGGATGAAACAGAAACGAAGTGATACCAAGAAAAGAGACAAGCACCCCAGCAGTGTTTTGCAGCTCTTAGCGGAGTTCTGTTATTGCGTGTCTTTGTGTGTGTGTTGAAAGGGATAGAACAAGCTTCAAATGAGACGCTATGACAGATGCTTCGAGCTAGGCTTGAGACTCAGTCCCACTTCCCTGAAATTCAGGACTCCCCCAAAAAAGATCTAAATTGGGGTAAGGCAGACTGCAGCTTGGGGAAACACGTCAATCGTGACTAGAGTAGGGCAACTTTTGTGTAATTAGGCACTGACTTCCTAATTAGTTGCTTATTTATTTGAACGTACATGGTCTCCAATTCAGTAGCGACGCAGGACGGGATCACGAAAAGTGATAGTAAAAAACAGAAGCATGGCAAGCAATCGTAAAAAGATTAAAAAGCCACTGAAGACCTCAGCCAAACACTCTGTTCTCCTAACACCACAAACAGGCATTATTTGCGGCTTGTCATAGGTAAATGCATGGCTTGAAAGACAGATGATGGACCTAGTCCATAGTGAAAGTATTTTTTTTCCCCCTCATCCAAGCAATAGTCCTAGTGGACAATCCCTTAGATAGGAGCCAGCCGTGTGCTGCAGCTGCCAAAAAGGCCAACACAGTGCTGGGCTGCATTAACAGAGGGATAGAATCAAGATCACGTGAAGTATTAATACCACTTTACAATGCCTTGGTAAGGCCACCCTTGGAATACTGCATCCAGTTTTGGTCACCACGATGTAGAAAAGATGTTGAGACTATAGAAAGAGTACAGAGAAGAGCAACAAAGAGGATTAAGGGACTGGAGGCTAAAGCATATAAGGAATGGTTGCTGGAATTGGGTATGTCTCGTTTAACGAAGAGAAGGACGAGGGGGGACATGATAGCAGTCTTCCAGTATCTCAGGGGCTGCCCCAAAGAAGAGGGAGTCAGGCTATTCTCCAAAGCACCTGAAGACAGGAGAAGGAGCAACGGATGGAAACTAATCCAGGAGAGAAGCAACCTAGAACTAAGGAGAAACATCCTGACAGTCAGAACAATTAACCAGTGGAACAACCTGCCTCCAGAAGCAGTGAATGCTCCAACACTGGAAGTTTTTAAGAAGAGACTGGACAGCCATTTGTCTGAAATGGTATAGGGTTTCCTGCCTGAGCAGGGGGTTGGACTTGATGACCTCCAAGGCCCCTTCCAACATCATCATCA